TGCTCCCTTCCTTCCCCGACAACCTCCTAGGACATGTTACAGGTACCAGGAGGCTGTGGGGCCATTCACAAAGCACATCACAGCTCAGGAATGTGCAGTGGGAAGCAAGCTGTGAAGCCGCAGGTAGTCAGCCAGTTTCCCACATTCAACATGGAGATGCCGGGGATCCAAAGACAGATTAGCAACTGGCCTAGGTGAGGACAGTGCCGGATGCCTAGACTGGTAAGTTTTGTTTTCTTTTAAAGTCAGAAGCTACAAATAATGTATACTTTTAATACCACCTAATAAGCATTAACACATTAATGTAATCCCCTAAGTTTTCAATCTTTTCAAATTTGAAGAAAAAAAAAAAAAAAAACACATCTATAAAAGGCCTTTGTTTAGGTACTTCATGGGGTGACAACTATTTTCTGATTCTGCTCAGACACTGTCATATGTACCTCTAATGGAGACTGAAAAAGGGTGTGCCAACACACTGCGTAGGAGTTTTCCCCCGCAGGGAAAAATGAGAGGTGCCTCTGCAATCTCCTGGCTTACATCTCATTCAACTAATCTGCAAGACACTAACAAGGAAAAAAGTATTCCCCAACCTCTAGGTTCTTGCTCTAAGTCATTGGCTTCACTTAACGACTGGATCCTTAGGGTTCATTAACACCTGCAACTAGAGCCAGACAGCAGATTTCTATAGCAAGAACCTGCATTCACCTGAGATTCCAAGTGTAATCTGCAAACAGCTGCAGACAGAAAGCCTATACAAAGCAATGAAAGGCTAAATAGAGCCTCGGCTGTCCATATGTATGCACACAATCAATTACCTGACATTAGGGGCAGATCTGCCATGAACAGAATGCACCCAAGGCCGATCTGCCACTAGTCACAAGTAACCATCAGATATCCAAATATAGTTGTCCAGCCCTAATCGTAAGTATGAATGAGCCCTTAAAGTCAAACCAGCAGCCAGTGGCAGCTCCCTTTCTATCTCAATAGCTTCCTTTAAACTGGCCATCCCAACACTGGGGGGTTTTGGGGAATTTGAGAATAGACCATTCCAAGACTGGGTTGACAGCACCAGCTTTGGCAACTTGGCTTCTCAGGCTAGGTGCACGCCGCCTGCACTGGAAATCGCAACCGTACTGGGAACCGAGGTTCCCATGTGGGCTTCATTTTCAGAAGAAGTGCAGGGACGTCTTCCCTGCATATCCCCGGGCACAGGAGTCCATTCAAATGAATGGGCTCTCATGTCTGCGCAATACGCGCCCCGCAGGAACGCGGATATGTGAACCAGGGGTAAGAGCTGGATCTGGACAGGTGACTACAAACTGGAGTTACTGCTCTCCTCAGTCACCAATCGTACTCCAACTTTCAGGGCAGGTCTGATGCTGATTGAGCAAATCAAGCAATAACACTGTGCACAAGGCCCACAATTATGGCTACATTACCCAATACAAATCACATATTAGGATATGAGAGGAGAAATAATAGGATACTCGTTTATCGTTTATTGTTTAAGCCACTAGAATTTTGACTTTAAAAATAAACTGCTGTCATTTGAAATATACAGTTGTGCCACTCATGTCCTGTACACACTGTTCACTTAAAAGTTATAACTTACCTAGTTTTTTTACCAACTTGCGCTGCTTTCACACAGATCCATTTTTATCCACACTGATCCGTTGTGTTTAATTGCAAAATCGGAAGAAAAACCTGTGACCATGTATTCTTATGAAACTCTTGACAGTGATGCACTGCAGGTCAGGTGCATTTTTTTTAAAATCCTGCTTTCTGCATTTTTGGCGTGGTAAAAAAACACACTTTCCCATTGAAAGATAGAAAAATGCAGCCAAAACTTAACAAAAATGCACCTGTACATTTTTGAGTCACTTCCTGTAGAAAACATGGCAAAAACACAACAAAAACACATATGTATTTTTGCTAGGATCAGTGTGAAAGTATCCTTAGAGTTCTACATTTGTTGTTCGCATTTATTTACAGACATGTACAGACTCCCTCTTAAAGCAGAGCTCCACCCAAAAGTGGAAGTTGCGCTTTAAGGACTGCTCCCCTGCTCCCCATTAAGGACTGGCACCTCTGGGGGGCGGGGGGTCCCAGAAGACTACAGAACCATTCATGAAGCACAGTGCTACTCGCGCATGTGCAGTGGGTACCCGGCTGTGAAGCCGCAAGCTATCATAGCCGGGTGCCCACACTGAAGATGCCAGCCTCCTGGAATCCAGGACGGCCAGTGAAACAGGCTGGTAACAGGTAAGTGGCCATTTTTTAAGTCAGCAGCTACAGTTTTTGCAGTTTGATGCTGTGATCACTATGCTACATGATCAGTGTCAACAAAGCTGTTATGAATGAACTTATTTATAACAGCTGTGTTTCCTGTGCTGTGATTGGCACACAGCTATCACACGGTACCTGGGCAAATCACAGCACCTGGACCAGATTAGGTGCAGCCAATCACAGATCACTAGTGATTACAGCTGTCCTGAATGTAACCCATTCATGACAGTTGAAAACTTTGCTGTTGCATCGATCTTCGTTGTGGTTAAAAAAAAATCCCTGATCACCCCCTCATAGTACAGTGTTACTGAACTACTCTGATGAAAGCATGAAATAAAAATACGAAAACATGGAAGTAAAAAAAAAAGTTAATTTTTTCACTTTATAATTTTTTAAACATACTGTCAACAGTCAGTGTCCCTGATCATCACCACACAAATCAAATGCTGACGCTGTACTGCACTGGTGACAGTATGTATAAAACTAAATTTTATTCAAGTTCTTCATTTTCAAAAAAATTGTGACACAAAAAATTACTATTAAAAAAACTCACCATACCTCTTCCTAAATGTCTCAGACTATCTACTTTCCAAAAATGGCTAATTCGGGGTGAATTTGTACTGTTTTGACATCTTAGGGCCTCACGAATTGAGAAAGGATGTCAGTATATCAGAAATGATCAATTTTCATATATATCATAGTTTGCAGACACTATAACTGTCAAACAAAATAATTAATAAGCACTTGTTGGGATGTAGCAGAATACATTTTGGCCTAAATTTATAATAAAATTTAATTTTATTGGATAGGTTTTATATCCCTTGCAACTGTTTTCTGCCATTGGGGTATTTCCCTAAGCCGCAGGGTGGAAAACAGGGTAAAGCGTGTCCATGAAGGACTATGCAGCAACCCTGGTGTAGACCATCCTGTGGCAAAAGGAAGCGACTGCAGATTGCAAAGGGCTCTAGACGAAGTGGTGATAAAACTGCAACCTGTAGTGTGATATAAGTCTGAAGGGTAGAATTTTACCATCCAGTTTGAAAAGTTTACCATTGCACAAGTTTAAACTTAGAAGGAAAACTATTTAAAAAACCTCCAATGAATGAGGTCATAGTATGGGTAAACCTGTCTTGTCTATATCTCTGACCTTTAATCACCGTCACAGTGGGCCTACCATTGGAGAAGTAATCAGGGTCTAGGCTCCATAGGGACTGACCATGGCCCTGAACCTGTATAACACCCAGCGCCTAGCTATACAAACTGCAATAAATGCTGAAGTGAATGGCCAAGCTTTTTTCTTGCCCAGCTACTTAAACTCACCTACTCTCGTATCTCCCCCAACAAAGGCTAATCATTCTGTAGTTCCAAGAGAAGTACTGAAAGGGCAAATTAGTTGAGATAACAGGACTGCTGTGCATTTGACATAAAAAGCTGGTTTGCACTTATAACAGATATAAAATATACCATTGGAAGCATATTATGAGAACAAAGCAAATATGTTAATTGTTAATTTATGTGGAACTGAACATTAAAATGAAGAAGATTTGCTATGTTATATGGAACATTTAGAAATTTTCATTCAACCTTAGTAGTATCCTCAAAATATTTCTCTTGAATTCCTGCTGAAAAATAGCAATGATTCTTGGTATGTCAGAGTACCTAGCCACTCATTCAGCCTCAAAGCTGTATATCTGCAGTGCGAGATCTAAGGTGCTACTGCCTATCACTGCTAGTCTAAGGGGATGCACATAGTAAAACATTACTGTATCAAACCATTTCACATACATTTTGTCCCGAGTGCTTTGTCCTGTGCCCTGCCTGCATTTTGACTGTTCTTTCTGCCTGGAAACTGAGAAACGCCCATGACGTCACTTTAGGTCAAAAGCGGTTTTAGACCAGCTAGAGAACAGCGATAGTAAATCAGAACCACTTGCAAAATTGAGTGATGATTTGTGGGGAAATTCGTCATCAGACACTGAAAACGATTTTGCAACTGAGCTCAAAGATGTGCGAACTTGGCGCTCTATTTCAAATTTCAGTGTTTTTGGTTTGATTATATTATTGAATTAAATTTATTATATTATTTTTAATGATTATTATAATTTATCATTTCATGTTTCAAATTTTAGCATACCAGGGATGTTTACTAGACTCTTGTTCGGACAGATTTAAGTGAGTTATTCCTAAAAATTACAGGCCTATAATAAAAAAAAAAATCATATTTGCATGCAAAAAAATGTACCGCTTTGAGCGCAGAAATACTGACAATCAGACCACTAGGGAGGTTAATGCAGAGAATGCATTAAGGTAAAAAAAAACCTGCCTTTAGAACCATTTTCACGAAACCTATGCAAGGCTAAACACAGCCCTGTATGGTCCATGAAGACCAGTGTTGTCTTCCATGCAACGTAAGTCCTCACCCAAGCAGAGAACACCTTGTAATACAAGATGGAGGTATATGGTGTCTGTAAAAGATTCATGACCAGTTTAAACATGGCAAGTCTAGCAGCACCTGGAACAGGACAGCAGCAACTTTATGTGGCACAGACTATAATCAAGTTCAGCATCCCCAGTGGCCCCCCGGATGTGACACATGGATAATTACATGTATTCAAGCTGACCCAATGCAACTTGAAAAGATAGATAATTCCTCCTGCGTCATGGTTTGCTAGCTGCACACCACTGAAAACCAGGACAGATATCTACACACTCACCAGTAAGACGTGTCTTATGCCCAACTCGGCCTTCCAATCTTTCTTTAAAACATTGACGCAGATTTCTCCATTGGAACTAACGTTTGGATGAAATATTTTGGTAAGAAAGTATCCTTTGGGAGGTGCTGCTGGGAAATCTTTACCCAAGATTAACTTCATTCTGAAAATACCACCTGCGTATGGAGTCCCCTCTGCAAAAAAAAAAAAAAACTGAAAATCTGCAGACTGGGAAAGATATACATGGTTATGAGACATTCATTTCAGTACCACTGTAAATATTTTAATATGAACAAAATAAAAGTTACATCATTTTTAGGGTGCAATAAAATCACCATTCACAAAAGATACACCTATGCTTGCATTTAAAAAACAGCAGTAACACCAGATAG